AGACATTCAAGAAGACAAACATATATATATATATATATATATATATATATTGTACGCAGTCAACAGTAATATGAGCATCTTTAAGTCTTTAAGTTCAGTAACTTCGTCAGGATATATCTTTCACAGTAAACAAATAATCTTAAACAAATCGCTTACATGATAGGCTATGTCAAAAAAAGACACGTCAGAACATCACATATTCCCTCTCAAATAAATGTAAAAAAGTGAACTATACGGTCTGATTCAAATGCCTGTCTGTGGTTCACGCCTCTATATTCTAACCTGACCATGCTGTTTTTTCGCGGAATAGTGACGTCACACAAGGGCAGCTCTTACTGGGCTAAGCAGCTCATGCTATTTCCCGGATGCCTGCAATTAACGCGATATCCGTGAAGACACACCCAAAGAAAGTCGGCCAGACCCTCTAAATATCATAGCTGGTTTTACATTTAAATTTTTCACACATTACCCTAGATGTTTTCTTCCATGGAAACTCAAAGAGCTTAAGGTTTAGTTTTCCATAAATTAAGGAAGCATTTCTGTGTGGTCTTTATCACACAGTAAGACAAAGCAAACTTGAAAACAATTTCCTCATACATTCAAGGTGTAATGATAATCTTATGTATCTCTCATCGTAAATATAAACATCATATTAATTTATACACATGGGAATAGCATCACAGTTATATGAAACAATCATAATAGGATAACAGGAAAACTAATTTTGAGACACAATTATTTGCTCATTTACAATGGTCTCTTCACTTAAGCTCAGATATCAATATTATGCATTACAACAATAACATACAGCACTGAACAAACACTTCCTTGATGTGAAACCATTGTTGCTAATAAGCCACAAATAATTATTATTACTAAATACTAAATTATTCTTGATTACTATAAATATACTTTCTAGAAGAATGTGTCTGCAAAACCAAATGAATTGTTTAAAAAAAATAATGTACAGGCACACATCTAAATGATTAAAATGTTCTTAAAAATATTTCAAAAGGAAGATCTTTCTAAACATATTTAAAACATGTTTGCTTATTATCAAACATAAATTATTAAAACAATCTTTGTGCTAGCTAATGTTACAAATATAATTTTACACTTTTGTATTGTACTATATTATTTACAAAAATATTCTACACCTTCAGTTAATTCAGTTTTATTTCATTTCAGTATTTTTTTTCTTACAATTCAAAAATGTCATTATTTACATTATTGTTTAATTCTGCATAACTGAGCAATTTAACGAGAGAGAGAGAGAGAGAGAGAAAAAACATTTTTATAAGGTTCATCATCATCAATCACAATTTTGTATATTATTAAATTACTACAAATATTATCAAATTTCCTAGTTCTCTGAACAAAGTAAATTTATTTTCTGGAGAATCATGTATTTTTGAATAAACAGGTGATGACTCTATGCCTTGTATATTTATAAAATACAAGGTTTTTAAACAAAAATCATCAAGCAGCAAATGTCTTTACCATAACAACAAAAAAATTAAAGTTAAATTCTTAGTCAATAGGCATAGAAAGAGAATAACAAAATAACAGATTTCTCACAGTTAAAATGTTGTGGTTGAGCAACTGCAGATGTCCTTATTGAATGAAAACAAGAGCACTTAGCCATCCATCACAAAAATATTTGATATGCTTCATTAATTGACAGTTTACAATTATTGTAAATGGCAACTACTGGTTGAAACGGCTGTTGACAAAAACAAAAGAGTGAAAATCTTTGTACAATTGTTTTTTATTTACACAGAACTGAACACACACACACACACACACACACACAAATAAATATATCTATATCTATATATATATTTTTTAGATTCATTCAAATATTAATTAAAAAAAACGATTATTTATTTTATAGTTTTAAAAGTTTGGGGAGAAAATACATAAAGAGATATGTGTAAATATTTAAAACAATTTATAATGATTCTCAATTAGTTCCTCTATATGACTTTTTATTATTAATTTGCTTACCTTTCCTAGCCTTAAATGACCTAATGTGTAAAATGTTTTATGCTGCCTAACACATTCATTGGGAAGCGACAACCTCACAAATTCTTTAAAATTAACTTTTATCTCATTAAAAAAAAGACAAACGAGATGAACAAAGTCTTACTGTTGACTGGAAATGTCTTTGTTTAGTCAAATAAAGGTAAGAAGTGTCCAAAAGTTAACAGCAGTTGGAGAGATGCAGAGGAATTAAGCATTGTTGACACTGGTGGGGACGTTGTAACACTGCTTCTCAATTTGATCTTATTTAGCACAAACCCACAACAGGTGCATCAGACCTTAGGAAATAACTGTATAGAGCAGCAATCACAAAACAGCTTCAGGCATATCTCCTATTAGAAAAAATAAAGACTTTCTTTGCTTCACTTGCAAAAATTACTGGAGGAATCTATGTTAATTTTACCCATCATCATTTCGGACATCTAAAGCCAGCCTGGACAATGTGATGACAGACATTTTCTTC